TATGTAGGAAACGGCTACCTTAGTGAGGGCCTTTTCAAATTGAATGTGATGACTGTAAACAATTCCAATATTATTAATAATAATACTACTTCTGTTTACTTGCTTGAGTCTTCTAATTTATGGAATAATAGATTAGGACATGTTAATCTAAGGTCAATTAAGAGTTTAGTTCATTTAGATTTATTGCCTAAATTTGAATGTTTAAATAATAAGTGCCAAGTATGTGTTGAATTAAAAAATTTGAAATTACCTTTTAAATCAGTTGAAAGATCAACCGAGTTGTTAGATTTAATACATACTGATATATGTGACATGAAATCTACACCATCTAGGGGTAATAAGAAATACTTTATTACATTTATTGATGACTGCAGTAGATATTGTTATGTGTATCGACTTAATAGTAAAGATGAAGCTATTGTTGCTTTTAAGCAATATAAAAGTGAAGTTAAGAATCAACTCAACAAGAAAATTAAAATGGTAAGGAGCGATCGTGGGGGAGAATATGATGGCCCCTTCGAGGAATTCTGTATAGAGTCTGGTATTATACACCAGACAACAGCTCCTTATTCGCTGCAATCAAATGGGATTGCAGAAAGAAAAATTCGGACATTGAAAGAGATGTTCAATGCTATGTTAATTACGTCCGGTTTACCACAGAATTTGTGGGGGGAAGCCATTTTGACGGCTAATTATATTATTAATAGAAGGCCTCACAAAAAGACAAACAACATACCATATGATATATGGAAAGGAAAGAAGCCATCCCTGAAATACTTTAGAGTGTGGGGGTGCTTGGCTAAGGTTGCGGTTCCTAAACCCAAAAGGTTGAAAATCAGACCAAAAACCGTGGATTGTGTATTCATCGGTTATGCACTTAATAGTAGTGCTTATCGGTTTCTAGTTTGTAAATCTGATGTCTCACATATACATGTTAATACGGTTATTGAGTCAAGGGAAGTCACTTTCTTTGAAGACGTATTTCCGTATAAGAAAATACATGAATCAAGTGGTAAAAATGATGATCAGGTTGTGATACCTCGGGATGCTACAACTGATACTGATCCTGTAGAGGATGTAGAAGATGAACCTAGGCGTAGCAAGACACAAAAGACCTCCACATCCTTTGGACCTGATTTTATGACATATTTATTAGAAAATGAGCCTCAGACATATAAGGAAGCTATAACGTCCCCGGAAGGACCATTCTAGGAAGAGACTATCAATAGTGAGATAGAGTCTATCTTGTCCAACCACACTTGGGAATTGGTAAATCTTCCTCCTAGCAATAAGCCTTTAGGCAGTAAGTGGGTGTTCAAAAGAAAAATGAAAGAGAATGGCACTATTGATAAATATAAAGCTAGGCTTGTGGTAAAAGGCTACAGGAAACGTGAAGGTCCTGATTATTTTGATACTTATTCACCTGTTACAAGGATCACATCCATTAGGATGTTGATCGCGATAGCTGCGTTGAATGGATTAGAAGTACATCAAATGGATGTTAAAACTTCCTTCTTAAACGGCGACCTAGAAGAAGAGACATATTTAGAAAAACCTGAAGGTTTTGTTGTTCCAGGACAAGAACGGAAAGTTTGTCGCTTAATAAAATCCCTTTACGGGTTAAAGCAAGCTCCAAAACAATGGCATGAAAAATTTGACAAAGTTATGTTGTCAAATGGTTTTCGAATTAATGAATGTGACAAATGTGTCTATGTTTGAAAAACTGAAAAAGGGTTTGCCATTGTCTGTCTTTATGTAGATGACATGTTGATCATGGGTAGTAATAATCAAATGATTAATGCTACTAAACAATTACTTAAAAGTAAGTTTGATATGAAAGATATGGGGATAGCAGACGTTATCCTAGGTATTAAAATCCATAGGACATCTGCAGGGTTGGCCTTATCACAGGCTCACTATATAGCTAAGGTTCTTGAGAAATTCAAGAGTTTGAATATAACTCCTGTGAGGAACCCTGTAGATTCTAATCTTAGTTTATTGAAGAAAATTGGTAAAGCTACAACACAAAAGCTATATGCTCAAGTGTTGGGAAGCCTTATGTATGTTATGCACTGCACCAGACCTGATATTGCTTATGCAGTAAGTCTGTTGAGTCGCTTTACCAGTAATCCAAATGAGAATCATTGGAAAGCTATGGTAAGATTTTTGGGATACTTGAAGTATACTCAAGATTATGCTTTGCATTACGAGAAATACCCCGCAGTTATAGAAGGGTATTGTGATGCAAATTGGATCACCGGCTCTAACGACACTAGATCCACAAGTGGATATGTGTTCACCCTTGGCGGAGGTGCTGTGTCTTGGAAATCGTCCAAAAAGACTTGCATCGCAAGGTCAACCATGGAAGCAGAATTTATTGCTTTAGATAAGGTCGGTGAAGAAGCCGAATGGCTGCGTAATTTTATTGAGGATGTTCCTAATTGGCCAAAATCGGTACCATCTGTATGCATACATTGTGATAGCCAATAAGCTATTGGAAGGGCCAAGAACGTCATGTATAACGGTAAGTCTAGACACATACGTCGTAGACATGATACCGTTAGACAACTACTCTCGATTGGAATTATTACAATTGACTTTGTCAAGTCTAAAGAGAACATAGCGGATCCGTTAACCAAAGGGATTCCTAGAGAGTTGGTTGAAAATTTGTCGAAAGGAATGGGTTTAAGGCCTATCAATTGTTGAGCATTGCGATAACTCTACCTAGAAGAGTGGAGATCCCATGAACTAGGTTCATAGAGACAACTAAGTGATGTTCGACTGTTCAAACACTGTGGAGTTTTTAAACTCATACTCATTCCTAAGACATGGCAGTGTATTTATGAGGGTAAGCACATAGGCTTTTAATGATTTCTTAATTTGTTGTGTTCAGATGATGTATAGTGAGGTACATCACAAGAAATCACCTATGTGAGTGTGAAGTGAGGGCCGCTTCTATGAGAAATTTTCAAAGGCCGATTCTCTAAAACACTCGCAGAACCAGGCAGGTGAACCACGACCAAAATGGGCGCAACAAAGGACCAACAATGCTAGAGAAGCAATTATGTGACTCCTATTGTCTAGGTATACACTAAAGGTTGACGGTTCAAGTCGACCTAGACCACCGATTGACCGAGTATATCCGATAGGTTTTCACTAGAGAAGGTTCAAAGGTAACTCCACCTATCTCGATGCAGTTGTTTCTCGTTGAGGAAATTACACTTTGCATTTATACTCTTATACATTTTTGTCACGATGATTTGACTTCTTATCCATGTGGGGGATTGTTGGAATTAATGCTAATATTCCATTGGTTATGAATAAGAAGTGGGTTGATAAAGAAAAGAGGAAAGAGAAGATGAAGAGGTGTGTGGGTATTAACAAGTCCCACATTGGACAAATACTAGGAAGTGGGAGAGTATATAAGCTCCCACTTCACTCTCTATGATTGGCCCTTAGGGTCACTACACATTTTGTGGAGAGCGAGGAGCTAGGTGAGCTTTGGTTCACCACACACGTGCGCTGCCGTCCGTCCGGCTCGGATCGGTTCGGTTCGGTTCGGTTCGATTCGGTTCGTATGTGTGTAATAAAAATAATTTTTTAATACTTTGTCCAAACGTTGCTTCCCTCCAAAAAGTTTGAACCCAAACATTTCTACCCGCCGGTTTTTTGAGCAACTTTGAACCGAACCGGTTCTTCCCTTTCGCGAACCGGTCACCGGTTGTACCTGTTCATCGGAATGGTCACCGGTTGCAACTCGTTCACTGCCGTCAGACACGGCGGTTCACCGTTGTCAGTCACGGCGGTTCGCCGCCGGCGAATGTTCATCGTGACCGGTCAGTGTCTATAAATAGACACTGACACCTTCAGAAATTTATCCGATTTTCTGCACTAAAACTCTGCCGGAATTTTTCTCCTTCCGATTTTTGCATTTTTTTATTCATACTCCGGTGTGACTTCCTCTGGCATATTGTTGTGTTCGTTTAGGCTGTTGATTGGTAGTGCCGCCATTCTTCAGACGAAATTCGTTCTATCCTGGAAGACAAGTGTCCATCAACCTTGGGCATCAGTGAGGGGGCAAATTGTCTTAAGGAGACACGTTCTGTGGGCTCGGATTTAATTCCTCTTCTGACATATCATTCTGCTTGTTTCATCATCTGATTCCAAGTAAGTCTGTTTTTATTAATAATAATTGCACAGTGATATATCTGATCATCTACTCCATTCTGGTATATTCATGGGTTCAAGCCTCTTAGTGATTTAATATCACCCACTGTCTTCAACAACATATTCTTCTTTTATTTTTTCTGGGTACATGTTGGTATAGTTTTTAACACATCTAGAATCCATATTTTTTCTCTATTTGTGAGGAAAGAAAAAAGTTACTTTTTTCTTTTGCCTTTTGGGACAAAAAGAAAATCCAATCTTGTAGTGACTGGTCATAAATAAAAAGGCAATTTAATTTAATTTAGTGTCCAAAAAATATATAAGATCTAAACAAACATTTACAAAAAGAAATATTTCACTAACAAAACAAAAACAATAACAACTTATATATATATATATATATATATATATATATATATATATATATATATATATATAACATGGGTAATACTTTTCGCATTTAACATGAGAGAAGTTTTTTTTCCTATACTAATAAGAAATGTGAAGCTCACAAGTTAATGAAAAATAAAAAAGAAAAGAAATTGCAAGCACGTCTTTTTATGTCTCTGTGACATGAGATAGTTATTGGAGAAAACAATTTCCCATAAAACATAAAGGTAATTCATTAAATATAAAAACTCTGAGACCTCTCAACATACATCAATGTAATTAACAAACACACTCGAACTTTACTAAGACCTTTTAAACACATAAAGATGTTACTTACACATGAAAAGTAAAGACCAGACTATATATATTACAAAATAAACAAATATATATATATAGAGAGAGAGATAACAGAGAGGTCATCATGACATGATTTCTCAATTGGTTCAATCCTGCCACAGGCGTTCAACCCATTCTTTAGCACCTGTTTCATTTGCAAGAACATCCCAATAGTAATAAGCACCATACTCAGACTCCCAGAAGAAAGGGTATGAACAAGTACACTCATTCCAAATTTGATCTCTCTCATAGTTCCACTCTCCCCAATCAAACAAATCACATTTCCCAAAATTCTCACTTGACATCAAGTTCACATTATTATTATTATTATTATTATTATTATTATTATTCTCCTCCTCCAACACATTTTTCACCACCACACCACCATCACCATTATTTTCTCCACCATTTTTCTCATCATCATCAACCACTTCTTTTCCTCTTTCATCTCCCTTCTCTTCCTTATCAACCTCACCATTCTTCATCACCTCCTCTTTCTTCTTCTCAACATTCTCCATCAAGTTCTTCTCCATCGCTTCACAAACAACGCAACAAGGTCTAGAGACCTCTCTTTGCGCTTGCCTGCGAGTTAAGACCGCGATCCTTGGCTTCTTCGAGCTCTCACCATCCTCAACTACATTCTTCTCCACAAGACCCTTGTAGTAGCAATAATAAAAATTGCTACTTTTATCCCTCTTCATTTTGGAAATAAAGAAAGAGAACAACGAAGCTACAATGAGAACAATGCGAATATATATAATGTGGAGTTTAAGGGAGTGAATATATACACACACTCACAACATCAACACAACCTCTATATGGTTACGTAAGAGTTCTTTTATTTTTCTCAAGTTTCTTATATCATACGATACGAGCTTTTGAGTATAAGTTTCAAATGAGAGAAATGATGCAGAAAAAAAAGGAAATAAAAAAGAAAAGAAAAAGAGAGTAATGAAGGGAGAAAAATAAGGTAAAAACAGAGTGAAAATCGCAAGAAAGAAAAAGAGAGACAAAAACGTTACATTTCCTTCATATTGATACGTGGATGTGCATGCAAGAGTGGCACATTGATGTTGAAACGTAAAAGTGTGGGTTACATATACAAAAAATAAATAAATAAAATAAATAAATAAAAATGTGAGATCCACAAACGAATGGAGTGTTGTTGTTAAATGAAGTGAAGATTAAATTCATGTTGGAAGTATCTATATGTGCTTTTTAACCCGATTTTGTTTGGAACCACGTAACCCATTGCGTATGTGTAACATGCAACCGGTTCAATATTTCTCTCCTCTTTTTCTTCGCTATTTTCTTTGCAATTGTGACTATGTAGGGGGTGAGAATGGTAGATCTCGAATTTTTACTTTCACTTTTTTTTCGGTTTGTATTCTCTTTATTTAAATGCACACTTGCATTGACTTTTTGTATAATACATTCAAATTATTTACCATTCTCTTAAATAATTTTTCTCCTAAGGTTGTATCCCCGGCCATGCCTACATTGTAAAAAGGTTTACTGGTTAATTATCTTGTCTTTCAGACTAACAAGGTTAAATTCTATATCCCTTTTTGTGACATGCATGAGTTGATAAGCATTATATCTTTAGACTACATTTGTCGTTGGAATTGGGGCCTCGAATATTGGGTAATATTGTTTATGGCATTTAGATTTGGCTTTCGTCTAATTATGCTAGTTTACAATTTACAATATAGTAAACCTAATCTACATTCACAATTACTTTACTTTGTATCAAATATAGTATCATCTTAAAAATTAGTTTTATTCAACTTAGTAATTTTCTATTTTAAAGCTTGGTTATTCATACTCTGACATGGTTCTTAAATATATTTAATATTTTAAAAATATAAAAGTATTTAATATTTTAATTTAATAATTAAAATTATTATTTAAGAGGATTTCCATCCTTGTAACACCCTGTGTATACCCGGTTTGTTAACATGTAATCGTATTATGCCACGCTTAATTAAAAATGCGGAATAACTTTTACTTTCAATTATGACATTACTATTGTTACCAAGTTGAATTACTTAATTCATTTCGTAAAACATTGCCTGTATGTAAATTGCAAAAGACAGCTAACTAAAATACCTCAATATATAAATAACTGTGAGTATCTAAAATCACGAAACTACAACACGTAGTCCGGACATAATCCTGATACATTATTACAAATCGAATCTAAACTAAGACATAGTCAATTCAATGTGGCATAGACAATCCCCATGCTCACCAAATAAGGCAACAAAGCCCAACAGTAGTCTCAACAAGGTAATCCAAAAAAATGAAGCTAAACGCATGAAGCAATAAGCATGATCCAACATCCAAGCATAAATAGCATAATCAGCAAGTATGAACTATCAGCTAATTAAGCTCTGGCCTCCTGCCACTAGAGGTCTCAACCCCTGGGTTACTTGAACCTGAAATAAGCGCCTTAACGTGGGGTGAGATCTCTAAACAGAAATCTCAGTAAGACAAGGGTCCTCAAGGATCTTCCACCCCAAGCTCACTTACATGTGCAATATAAGTTCAAAAGCAGTTTAACAATATAAGTTCCAAAACTATGCAGTGCGACAGATATTCATGCCATGTGTGTTATCACTATTCTACTGGCCAGAGAAATGCAGGACGTACGTCTACAACCCCACAATAAGTACAAGGAACACCGCTTGCACCTCACCCACAGCCTCACCATCTTGTATGTCTCCACATACTCAGGCTTACCGTATAGGTGGAACACCACATGCATATCATAAAGGCACTCGAATATAAAAGCTCAATAGCATTTATCAAAAAAATACATGAAAACAACATCATGCATATAAACCATCCCCCCATGGGACATGGTGGAACTAACAATGGCTAAACCGAGGACACGAAAGCTTACCTTGCAAGCTAACTATCCAATGCCAAGAGTCCACACTAGCTCAAAGCCCAAACACAGTAGAATCATAATCTGTTTCGGACCAACAATATATCAATATACTTAACAAGCATATGACACAAAGACAACGTCTTTCCTTACGTTTTACGACTTTAGGCTTCTCACAAAGCCACAAGCCCTTAATCAATTAGATTCTAACTTAGTTAATTTATTACAGAAGTCCCACTTCATTGAATTAGGGTCCACAAACCCATAACACAGTTCTGTATGAACAGTACCTTTACTGTCCTCGAAAACCCAGAATATCCGGATATTTGTTGGGGCAATATTCGGATATCATATCCGGATATAATATCCGGATATCCTTATTCGGATATCCACCGACCCCATATCCGAATATCAATATCCAGATACCATATCCGGATATTTCGCGACAGAATGCAGATTCTGCATTTCGCAAAGATATCCATCAAAGGTGGTTCATTTCATGCATACAGAAGCTTAAACATGCGATTTAAGGTGTGTTTAACATTAGCCAACGTTAGGTTATGATCATAGGTTCATTACATGCATCAAGGTTCCATTTTTAACCACTAAAACTCATTATAAAGGTGGTAAGGCTTACCAAAGCTCTAAACAGCAAAGCAAAGGCTCAAGGAGCTCACTAATCAACTCCCCAAACACTGACTTATGCAGAAAATGAAAATGCCAACAAAGCTTGGCCCTTTCTTCACAAAGGAAGCTTCTTGAAGCTACCCAAGCAAGAGACCAAGGTTCCTTCCCCACAAACAGAGAAGTCAGCCCACACAACACTCCCAAACAGCACCCTCAACTCAGCAACAACTGACCTTCATCCTCACAAGGCATTCACTCAAGTGTTTGCAAGGTAAAAGAGGAAGAAATCAAGTCAAAGGTGAAAACTTGGTGGTTTTATTAGAGAAGGTGAAGGTCACAAAGAGTGGAGGCTGATGAGCTGTTCAAGAGACTCACTGTTGGGCGTTTAGCAAGTGCACTAGTCGTACAAGTAATAAAATGATGAGTAAATATCGTTCCCACGAGGATTTGTGTCAAGCACTGACTAACCATATGTACTTGAGTTGAATCAAACAAAAGTTCATAGATTGCATAGATTTCTTGTCACCAGAAACTACACTGAATTGAATTAAAACTTGATAAATAATTAAAATGTAAATTATAATGTAAACAAGTAGTCAAATGTCATTTTCCCTAGTTGTCAAAAATAGAGAAACAATGTAAACATGTCTGTTCTACACTATTCCTCAACATGAAGAATTAATCAAGACAACTTCATACAATCACATAATAGATAAACAAAACATCTAATTAACCATTCATAAATTCAAACTTGAGTTCCATTGAATCAGACTACAAAGGACTCTACTCAGACATAATTGAAACACAAACAAGAGAAGAAAGATAGATCAAACTCCATTGTCATGATAGTTGAGTCTTCAATCTCCAAGTACAATTACATAGGAAATACTAACTATTACAAGAACTAATCCTAAAGAATTTGGAAATTCAGAGAAAATGAGGAGTCAGATCAGATCTATGAAAGACCTGATCTGATCTCCCTTCTCCTAGTGTGATGGGAAAAGTCAGAATGAGATATGATGGATTGGATCTGATATCTGGAATATGTCAGAATGTGAAGGCCCCTTGTCCTTTTATAATTTACAAATTACAACTGAAAACTGACATGGGCGCTAAAACTCTCATTTCTGGACGTTTTAGCGCTCAACCTTGACGGATGCCCAACTGCTTTTAACTGTCTTGGGCGCTAAAACGCTCAGTTTTGGGCGTTTTAATGTTCAGGCGCTAAAACGCTCAGTTTTGGGCGTTTTAATGTTCAGCACCAGCATCTTTTGTGCAACAGGGCGCTAAAACGCTCAGTTTTGGGCGTTTTAGCGCCCAACACATAGAATTTTCCCATTCTTCAGAATCTTCTTCCTTCTCTCTTTTGCTTCTTGAGCTTCATTTCCCTACAAAAACAATGTAAATTTTCAACATAAGCTTCAGAACTTGTATTTGAGAGATTTCCAGGACATTAACCTCTTTTCCATCCATTTAATCACACAAATTGATATTAATTCATGCTTAAAAACCTGATGAACTAAGGGTTCATCACAATTCCCAGATTTGAACATTGTTGTCCTCAGCAATGAATTAAAACAGAGAAGGACTTGAGATTCTTTACAGATGAAATTCATGAGGATGGACTTCAATTAACAAAAGATCAACATTTCATGATACAAAATTATAACCATGCAATCTCTTATTTCCTATGATTTGCCCAACATCATTTGTGACTTTTCAACAGATCAGTAAAGATGATATACAGAGACTTCCAAACAACAACATCCCCTCACTAGGAACTTCTCAAAAATTATGAGAATTTTAACACTCTTGCACACTAGTGTTTAAGGATGTACTTATCACTCACTCTTCACTGCACTCAAACTACCATAGGCTTGCCCATCTTCTCACTATTCATAGTAACAATGATCCATAAGGTAGATCAAAAAGGTTTTGGTATGATTAGCAATGAGGCTTGGTGTGTGGCTTGACTAGAGGTAAGGATTTCTGTGAAAGGAGAAGTTCAGATCAAATGAATCAGATTCAAATAAGAGGGAATTCACAGTAATTAATCAATTTCTTCCTAAGTCCCTCAACTTTCTTCCTTTTCATTCCTTGTTCTTTTCTTTGAACCTTTCTTCCTCCTTTTCTTCCTGACACTTTGTGTCTTTAACAAAAAAAAAAATATATTTCTTTTTTTCT